TTGAGGTGGTTTCGTACCCTACCATAATCTATTCGTTTGTTCTCCGCTATTAGTGGCTTTGGAGTGACTCTTTGTTGCATGTTGAGGGATAGTTATATGATCCAATTATGTTATTATTGTTGAGAGAACTTACACTAGTGAAAGTATGAACCCTAGGCCTTGTTTCCTACCATTGCAATAACGTTTACGCTCACTTTTATCATTAGTTACCTTGTTGTTTTTATATTTTCATATTACAAAAACCTATATCTACCATCCATATTGCACTTGTATCACCATCTCTTTGCCAAACTAGTGCACCTATACAATTTACCATTGTATTGGGTGTGTTGGGGACACAAGAGACTCTCTTTGTCAATTCAACCACTCCTTAGGTCATCCACTTGAGGGAAATTTGCTACAGTCCTACAAACCTCTGCACTTGGAGGCCCAACAACGTCTACAATAAGAAGGTTGTGTAGTAGACATCACTTGCGGATGGCAAAGACCTTTGAATCTTTGTCGTCCGCTGGCGGACGGCATAGCTGGCCACGTGGCAGCTTCCCAGTGCTGGCCTAATTGTGCTCTTTGTTGTCCGCTGGCGGACGGCAAAGACCTTTGAATCGTTGTCGCCCGCTGGCAGACGACAAAGAGTGTCGTTAACGCCCTAACGGCTCTGACGGCACCCCACTACCGTCTGTAGTCTTTGTCGTCTGCTGGCCTCAGACGGTAGTGGGGTGGACGACACAATCGTTTGCCGTCAGTTTCGCAAAAGCTGACGGCAAAGAAGGCCTTTGCTGGCACCTGTTTAGACGGACAGTTTGTCGTCTGCTGGCGGACGGCAAAGATGTTTGCCATCCGGGATCTATGTCTTTGCCGTCTGCCATGGCGGACGGCAAAGAATCTGTTTCCAGTAGTGTTTCCTCTTTCAAGTTCCTCATAGTGACCAGCAGATATAAATCCCAAGTGACTCAAAGAATAGAGCTATGCTCCCCAGCAACGGCGCCAGAAAATAGTCTTGATAACCCACAAGTATAAAGGATCGCAACAGTTTTTGAGGGTAGAGTATTCAACCCAAATTTATTAATTCTACACAACGGGAGCCAAAGAATATTCTCAAGTATTAGCAGTTGAGTTGTCAATTCAACCACTCCTTGATAACTTAGTATCTGCAGCAAAGTATTTAGTAGCAAAGTAGTATGGAAGTAACGGTAACAGTAGCAAAAGTAACAGTAGCAGTTTTGTAGTAATTGTAACAGTGGCAACGACAAAGTAACTAAGCAAAGAACAATATGTAAAAAGCTCGTAGGCATTGGATCATTGATGGATAATTATGTCGGATGCGATTTCTCATGTAATAGTTATAACATAGGATGACACAGAACTAGCTCCAGTTCATCAATGTAATATAGGCATGTATTCCGAATATAGTCATACGTGCTTATGGAAAAGAACTTGCTTGACATCTTTGGTCCTACCCTCCCGTGGCAGCGGGGTCCTTTTGAAACTAAGGGATATTAAGGCCTCCTTTTAATAGAGTACCGGACCAAAGAATTAACACTTAGTGAATACATGAACTCCTCAAACTACGGTCATCACCGGGAGTGGTCCCGATTATTGTCACTTCGGGGTTGCCCGATCATAACACATAGTAGGTGACTATAGACTTGCAAGATAGGATCAAGAACTCACATGTATTCATGAAAACATAATAGGTTCAGATCTGAAATCATGGCACTCGGGCCCTAGTGACAAGCATTAAGCATAGCAAAGTCATAGCAACATCAAACTCAGAACATAGTGGACACTAGGGATCAAACCCTAACAAAACTAACTCGATTACATGATAAATCTCATCCAACCCATCACCGTCCAGCAAGCCTATGATGGAATTACTCATGCACGGCGGTGAGCATCATGAAATTGGTGATGGAGGATGGTTGATGATGACGACGGCGACGAATCCCCCTCTCCGAAGCCCCGAACGGACTCCAGATCAGCCCTCCTGAAAGAGTTTAGGGCTTGGCGGTGGCTCGGTATCGTAAAACGTGGTGAATCTTTCTCTCTGATTTTCTTCTCCCCGAACGTGAATATATGGAGTTGGAGTTGAGGTCGGTGGAGGTCCAGGGGGCCCACGAGGCAGGGGGGCGCGCCCTAGGGGGGCGCCCCCACCCTTATGGACAGGGTGTGGGGCCCCTTACGTTGATTGCTTCGCCAATATTTTTTATTAATTCCAAAAGGTTGCTCCGTGGATTTTCAGGTCATTCCGAAACTTTTATTTCTGCACAAAAATAACACCATGAGAGTTCTGCTGAAAACAGCGTCAGGTCCGCGTTAGTTCCATTCAAATCATGCAAGTTAGAGTCCAAAACAAGGGCAAAAGTATTTGGAAAAGTAGATACGACGAAGACGTATCATCGTCCGACACGGGAGGGCGAAGGGTGGAGCCGCCTACCTCGTTATCGTTCCTACGCTTGTGGGCGATGAACACACCGCGGCACCCGAAGCCCGCGTTCGCTGAAACCCCTGCCGCCACGACGCCCCGCCCCTGTCGTCGTCTCGGCAAACCGCGGCAAAACCCCACCAGAGGGGGATCAGTTTGTCGCAGGAGTTTGACAATTTGCGGCGGAGATGGAAATGGGAGAAAGGGGAGGGATACACTAAATCGCCCGGGCTCCGGCATACACACCGGATGCGAGGACGGTTTACGGGCCTCCCATAAACTTTTTACGAGTCGGGCCATTTTTGCCGGATCTGCTCGGGCCAAATTTTTGGGCTCCCATAAATCTGGCAGGAAAAGCGTAGTTCGTCAGGCGTTTAAGGGGTCTGCTAGAGATGCTCTAAGCCCCTCAAATGTGGCAAACCGGATAAATGTCCACCCAAATAGTTTTGGAGATGATTTGTGGTGGTATTGTCTTTTACTGTGCTGACTAGGCAGGTGACTGTATACATGACTGGCCCGCGCAGGAGGAAGAGACCTCGTCGCTGACGGATGCCGCCATGGAGCATGGGGAAGTTGGCTGACACTGCCGACGACAGCCGTGACATGGGAGAAGATGTTGTGTTCGCAGCCAGATGAGGCTGCTTCGCCGAGCGTCAGGGAGGAGTCACCGCATGGTGGCTGTTGGGATAGGCAACCGAGGCGTTGGTCATAGCACCGCTCTTGTCGAGCTACTCGGCGAGGATGTCGTCGACGGTGAGCTCCAACCACCTGATGCTACCCTCCGGAGAGCACTCAGCCAACGGCGGGAGGTGGATGGAGGCTCAGAGGGTGAGGAACGATCTCCTGAAACTGCAACAGTTGGTGAGCTCCTGAATTTCGGGTCAGTTTGGATTGTGTCCTCAGCAGCACTAGCCTGGCCTGGATGTTTGCCTGAAGTGTGCCTGGAGTCTGTTTGGTAGGCGCCCTGGTTTTCTTCCTGATTCAGGCATGAGGCAGCACGCCTGGTTTGCTCCCTGGTCGAGGCGCCAAAAACGGACGCCTGGGTACCAGGCATCTTCTTTTCTCTTTCTAATTTATTTTTCTTTATTTTAATCACATGGTCACAAAGCCTTTTCTGTTGGAATCTGTGCCATTACAATCCAAAAGCAGAGTACTTATTTTCTCAGGCCAGGACAGCAAGCAAACACCCACATCTTCACCGTGCCTGGCCAGGCAAAAATCACTGCATTTTCAGGCTACATTCAGACACCAATTTTTGCCCAGGACACCGTCCAAACTGACCGATACATCTCAACTTCAGACCGTTACCAGAGTGAAAAGAATCTTACAGCAGAGCTTGCTGGATGGATGCAAATGGATCAGAGGTGCAACCGGTGCTTCGACGACATCCAAGTTCAGCAGCATGATGCTTGACTGAACCGCGTTAACCAAAAGCAAACTGGCTCTTAGAAATTTTCCAAGTTTCTTCAGTACTGAATATATGTTCCGAGTTTCATCCAAAAAATATAAGATAGAGAGCATGTTCTATGAGCCATCCACATAAGCGCATATACATGTTCTAAAGCAAGTATTTTAGAAGTTGATTGATGATTTTAGGTACTAAAAGCTTCATTGGAGTCAACAATTTTATTTCTTCACTGAAAGAATTATACTACCTCGGTCCGAAATTACCTGTCGCTCGACAAGTAATTTCGGACGAAGGGAGGTACTAGGCATGAAATCCTTTGGATGTTAAAGACAAATTTCATGTGAGAAGCCTTATACGTGCATGGTTACTACTTACTAGTATACCAAAAACAACTCACTTGTTCTATGAATTTACCACGTTTCTTCGTTACTGAATATATGTTTCCTAGTTCATCCAGAAAAGACATACCATGTTCTAAAAGGCATCCACATAAATGCAGATGCAAGCATACTCCCTCCATTCGGAATTACTTGTCGCGAAAATGGATGTATCTACATCCATTTCCGAGACAAGTAATTCCGAACGGAGGGAGTATAAAACTGGAAGACCAAACACACTCAAAAGACCAGTCACAAGACCAAGATCAGCAAAATCCAAGTATCCAACTAGCTCCCAGCGCAGAAAAAGGTAAAACAGAGTACAGTAAGCACACTCTTTATGAGCATTGATCTTCAGAGTTGGCTTCATACTAGCAAATCCTTATCTGAAGATCACTTTCAGGGAACATGTTACTGTTTACCTAGCAAATCCTTATCTGTTTGAAGAAAGGAACAAATTATGCATTCATGTACTCATATGTTGCACTAGGAGCAGTGTATTATATTTTGAAAGACTCCCAAAGCTTGTTTATTACGAACTGACTATAGCATATAGTAGCAACTTATTGACCAAACTCCTGAAATTGCCATACAAAATGGAACGAACCAAAAACTGCAAATCTTCTCATGCAAAATGTTATCAAAGATTACGATAATATACTTTAATTGGAAGGCACAAAAGTACTTTTTCATCAATGCATGCATCAGTCCACTGTCTCACTAATTGTTCACATTACAACATAAGGAAAACGGACAGTACGATGAATTATTCACCTCATTAGCAACAGCTACTCTATAAACTCAGCAGGCTTCCTGTGTAAATGCCGATTGATCGGGGATCTCTCAGTTTTAGTTCATCAGTACATGTGCCATTCCTTGGATCATAACATTGCAGAAATCCCTCTCCTTTCTCTCCATCACTTAATATACCTTCCAGACAATCCATCCCACTGAAGAAAATTCTCCCATCATGTAACATGAGAAAAGGATACCAAAAAAGCCTAGCAACATGTGAAGGCAAGCTGTATTTCTTGACCCAAATACCTTTCTCAAAATCTGTCAAAAACCACAAGTCCATAGATATGTCATAAATATTATGAGCCACAACTAAGCAGCCGTTCAACTCAGCCAATGATAACTCGTGTTCAAGTCCTGAGTAAGTGTATCCCCCGTTGTCTTGCAAAAACCTCTCCAGCTGTTCTGGACCACGTAGAACACCCATCCACTCCTCTGTGTCGAGGTTGAAAGAAGCTACGCTACCAGGTTCAATGGTAATAACTCCAGTTTCATAATTAGAGTAGCAAAATTCCATCAGGAAGTACACCACCCCATCGACGACCGCACTTCTCATCCTGTGACTGGTACAGATATGGGACGGAGGGTCCTGCTTTCTCCTCCAGCTTCCATGGTTGGTGTCATCAAAGGTGATAACCTCACATACCTTCCGGTCATCAACTCTAGAGATGCGGAGCGCCTTATACTCCCTGCTAGAGGAGACCTGCCCAAAAGCAAACGACTCACGTCTGCACCTATATTCCTTCATTGGCTTCACCTCTAGCTCATGCGCAATTTCCTCAGAGAAGCCCATTGGCAAGTCGATGGTAGCTCCAGTGGCTGGGTTCAGCACCCAGAAGGACCCAGAGAAGAAATTCCAGTTGAAACAGACAAGGTCTAGCCGTGTGCGCACAACACAGATGCTATCGTCCTTGCTTGTGAACCGGCCAATGGCATCACCCGACGCAATGTTCACCCTAACAACCTCATACCCGGTGCTTCGAATCCTCCTCACGACGTTGCCCGACAGACCCGAAATCGCAACGCCATTGACCCCACTGCCGTCGCAGTAGCCCATGGCGAGGAGCGGGAGCGCAGTACGGTGGCGGGACTTGTGCGCCGCGACGAAGAGCGGGTCGGAGGTGAGGGCGCGCCAGCCGGGGCAGACGGCGCGGAGGCGGCAGAGCTCCTTGGCCGGGAGGAGGAGGAGGACCTCGTACAGCGCGTCCGCGGGCAGGTCGCCGGAGCTGGAGGCGGCGGGGCGCAGCTCTGAGGAAAGCATCGCTGCGGTAAATAGATGTCGTGAGCAAGCGAAGCGAGGGAGCCAAATTGACGACGGATTCAGGTAGGGTTGCCTGCGAAGGAGCGCGAAGGAGTTAATCTTACCGAGGGCGGTGGCGGGGAGCAGGCAATCGCCGGAGACGAGAATGCCGGAGGCGGAGGGGAAAGCGGCCGGTGGTCAGTGGCCGCCGCACTGGTCGAGGGTTTCGGCCTTTGGCAGTTGGGACTCGACTGGACTGAGAAGGGTCACGAACTCAACCAAAATGGGCCTCAAGAGTTATGGCCCACGGTGAGCTGTGTTCGCATTTGAAACTATTGTTTTTTTACTGTTTACGAAGATGCATTTGAGATCGAGTGTAGAAACTCCGTGTCAATGGCTCTTCTCTCCTCTTAGCAATTTAACCGAACTAGATCTTGATGATATCATTGCATTGCCTACGACAATATCGATAATCCAAAGACGAGCCCAGGCTCATCTAATATTTAATGAATATTAAATTCGACAGAAATAGCAGGAAAAAAACTGTCAACAAAGATGCTTGAGTGTGCTAGGAGGGTGCAAATTTTCATGGTGAATGACGCTCGAGGAGCCTCTTCCTCCTGCTAAAAAAAATCAGCTAGGGTTTCTGTCTCTTGCCGGCTCCGACGCAGGTCCGCCTCGTCTTCAGTGGCCCTAGGGCCATGGAGGCGCGGTGGATCCTGCCAAGGGCCGGCGGGGGGGCTTCATTTTTAGTCGCTCCTTTTAGTTTCGTTAGGGTTTGTGTTCTGCTCAGGAAGGCGAAACGGCGGCGGCTTTCTGAAGATGGAATAAAGGTCTCCCCGCGTAGCCCCCGTTCCAGTGGTGCGTCTAGCATCGTTGGTGGGCGTGTGGAGGTGTGTCTTCGGTGAATCTATCTTTGGTGGATTTGCTCGGATCTCGTTGGCGTTCGTCTACGTTTGTGTGCCTTCGGGTTTGATCCTTTCGATCTACGTTATTCTTCATTTGCGCGGTTGCTATTCTGGTGCGCTCGTCCTATGAGGTCTTAGCACGATGACTTTCCGACTGTCTACTACAATAAGTTGTGCCCGACTCCGACGATGGAGGGGCGATGATGGCGGCGCTTCTTTGGCTCGCTTCAGTGCTTGTAGTCGTCGCTAGGTGGTCAACGAATCTGGATGTAATTTTTATTATTTTGGTATTCGTTGCAGTGCCATGGTTGAAGATGAATAGATTGGAAGATTTCACGCAAGAAAAAAATGACACTCGAGAAGTTCTAGGTGAAAAAACGCTGAAATCTGTTTTGTTGCAACTAGCAAGCGATTACCACTTACCGCCCGAATAGTGTGTGGTTTCCATGTAATAATTTGGATGTGTTTGGCAATGCAATTTATATTTAACAAAGTCAAAGAGTAGGTATTGAAGTGTTGCCAACAAGTAGCAAATCTCTACTCCTATAGAAAAAACTCAGTTGGTGATGATAGTGTCTGCAATCCGTCAATTCTGACCATTAGATCTGCATCTAACGACTGTGCTATAAGTTATGGCCTTTTTGCAACAATATCTCACTTCTCCGCTCCAATTTATAGAAAACCCCTTAGTATCTTGAAACCAAGCACATTTCCTCTTACCTCATCAAAACAGCCGAAGAAATATATTTTGGGTGAAACATAAAATATTTTTAGTATATATGTATATCAAAACTAGACATTTTTTTCTTTCAAATTTGTGAATATGTATTATTCTACATTGGATCCATTGCAACGCACGGGCACATTGCTAGTGTTGTCAAAAGATACAAGTACTATCATGCAACACTTGCATGGGTGGTTAGCGAAGTTCAAGAGCATGGTAACCACGTTAACGAAGTATGTCCTCAATTTGTTTCAAAAAAGAAGTATGTCCGCAATTTGGTAGGAAATAAGAAGCTTGTCAACATGGGATTCAGTGTTGAAGATCGCATGACGGTGGTGAGAAGTCGCAAGACAATGATGAAAAGAGATTACCAGTTGGGTCCAGAGTTTCAGAGATAGAAGAATTTGAAGACCAAAGGATGAACTTTTATTGACCGCTGTCCAACAATATTGATATCTCACACAAAAAGTGATCTCATCCACCCACACTAATCTATCATCGCCATAGAATCCCGTTATACTAGCTAGTAGTAACATGACAAGATCGCCGCTGCTACCGTGCTTGCGAAGCCGGAATAGCAGAACGGAAGTACGGAATTTCAATGGTGAATTGCACGATGAACAAATGCACTTTACACATTTTAGGGAGATCAACTTGCGAACGAACCACATTTCTGTTGATCATATACAGGATCCACCGTTTCATTCTTGGCCTGCTAATAGAGGCATCTTGTTGCCTTCCCACTTGTTCAATCTTTTCCTCGCTTCGGCCACCTGCAATCAGATCAGAAGGTAAGTCTTCGTGTGTTTCTCGTAGATAATCACCAGGTCACCATCCACCTGCTAATCTTGTAATGTGAGTATGGCGTATTGGTGGTCTTTTTGGGGTGTTCAACTCTGCAATGTGTGGCTTGTTAACTACTCCCTCTGTCCCATAATATAAGACAGTTTTTCAAGTTATGTAAGCTTGAAAAACAATCTCATATTTGTGGGATGGGGGGAGTAAATTTGTATTAATGTTGGTTCAGAATATGTATCCGTTGGAATATCAAGGTCTCGCATAGCTAGAGTTTAGAGAAATCCATTGCAGTCTTGCAGATCCTAATGTCTATTACGGACGGTCGAGGGAATCTCATGTGCGTACCTCTTTGTTCCAGTCGGTCCTCACGGTAACCCACACCAGGATCACGGTCTGCATAAAGGTGCCTCCAATCATGCCGCTCCATATGCCCTGCATTTTGTGTCACCCACTGTTATATGTCAAGAAAGTGATATGAATGATTGATCAGGGTGAGGTAGGTTATCCAGAACCATCCACGGATGCCTTACCGCCGCACCAAGGTCGAAGTAGAAGCCGAGGAGGCAGCCAAGAGGGATGCCGACGACGTAGTAGCAGCCGACGTTGACGTAGGCGACGAACGCTTGCCACCCACACCCCACGGCCACCCCTGCTCATAACATCCACATCAGTGTGCATCCAAAAGAATTTAATGCTTTGGTTGCTTCTGTCTAAAGCTGAGAGCCCCAAAACTGAACAGAAAAAATTTATCTTCTCTGTGTGTTCTGATATACTACCTGATAATACTGGCTGGATGCCGTTGAGGATGAGGGTGATCGCCAGGAGAGGCGTCAGCTTGGACACCGCCGCTGCCACATCGTCGCCCCCCGTGTAAATGTAACTGATGTAGTCACGGAAGAACAGGATGACTATCGAGATTATCGCCGCCAAGATGAACGACAGCACCGTCACCACCACCACCGAGAACGCCGCTGACTTGGGGTTGCCGGCTCCAAGCTCATTGCTCACCCTCACGCTGTGTTGCAAAACATGCATGTAAGAATCCAGTTCATTTTACCTGGTGCAGTTAAAGCTAGTGAAAACTTTGCAAGCGGTTAACAACTTTACCTAGCTGCTGCATTGAATCCAACTGAGATCATGAACACCCATCCTGAAATGGTCATGCTGCAAGAACACATAAACACAACAGAATGATTAGTTGCATCATCATCTCGGCAGACAGGCAATCAAAGACAAGTTCAAATAAAAACCAGTTACCAGACAGAGAGCGATGCGAGAGCCATTTCGGGGTCCTTGAGGAGGCCAGCAATGAGCACCAGTATCTGGAAGTACCAAGTCTCGAGGCAGAGCATGATAGCGGAGGCAAGGGACAGCTTGAAAAACTCAGGCAAGCCGGAGAACGCCTGGAGGGAGAATCCAGTCCAAGTGAGGCGGCACCGGCTGCTGGTGACGATGTATACAAACTGCCCAATGACGATAATCCACCAGCTGATGCTGAGCATGAGCGAGGCGCCCAGAAGCCCCAGCCCAAACTTGTAGACGACGAGGTAGCTGAGGACGAGGTGGACGGCGAGCGTGGCCGTTGAGATGTAGGCGCTGGGCGCCATGATGCTCTGCGCCTGCATGAACTTCTGGATGGGGAAGTTGGCGGCGTAGGCAAAGATCTGCGGGATGAGGCCGTACACGAAGATGGCCGCGGCGCTGGCTATCTCGGGGGACTCGCCGAGGAGGATGAGGATGGGGCGGGAGAACGCGTAGAGGACGGCGAGCGGGATGCCGGTGGCCATGAGCAGGACAGTGGAACGTTGCATGTAGATGCCCAGCATGTCGAACTTGTTCGCGCCGTACGCCTGCCCACATAGAGTCTCCACCGCACTCCCCATGCCAAGCTGCAAAGCGTTGCAGAGTTGGTTAATTACAATTCTAGTTTTGTAATTTCAAAATGCTTCTGATTTTTGTGAAACTGATGTGGAGTGTATTTGAAACTGTGAAACCTGAATGAAATAATTATATAATGCAGATATAAATGAACCTCGAATTGACAAATAGGGATGAAATAATTGACAAATGCAAGTACAATATATCGGCAATTATGCACTGGGAAAGAAATATGATAGAAATCCAGTGCAAAATTGCATTCAAATTTCAAATTTGTATTTGAAATTGCTTTAGTTTTTGTTGCCTTTTTGTAAATACATGTGCAACTTTTTTAAAAATGGGAAATGGTCGTGTATAGATCTGAAGTGTATCTTTGAACTTGGAATGCATTTGAAAAAAATATCCGTAAAAAAAGTGATACTTCAGCTTGTGGCACTTTTCTGAAATGTATCTTTTGTTTGCGGCATGTTTTCATGATGTATAGTATGAAATTCCTGAATTTTAGACTGTGGCACTTGGTCTGAATATACGAGGATCTTCTGAAATTTAGGAAAATGTTGTGTAATTGATCCGACGTGCATCTTGACTAGTTCTGGAATGTGTTTTCAGAAAAATGCACCTGAAGTTAATTTTGTGGCTAGACCGAAATAAATCGAAAACATGTCAAGTGCAATGAACTCGTTTCTGAAACAACATTGAAAATAAAAGAAGGA